TGTAAAGCTTTTATAAGAATAATTTATATAGTGTGCCAGGGTGAAAATCTGTGAAATCTAGTACAAACGTTTCTATTTCAAATTAGTATGAAAATTGTAAAGCGAGATGAAAGTCGGCCGGTAAATCTTGACCGAGGGACCTCCGACACAATTCGTAGGCTTAAATGCCACCCCATTGTTTAAAATATGGGCTAAGTGGTTTGCTCTATTGGATTAACAAAGCGTAATTAATTGCACTAGCAATTTACGTCTCCCCGAGGCATCATCATTAGAAAGTATTTTTGTTACGGTTGTCCTCTTCATTTGAACTGGCAAAATTAGTTTAATTCAAATAATATATTATTACCGAAGTCAGCGTGAAGAAAATATTATTTAATGAATGCACATTTGAAAATCTAGATAAAAACAATATAAAAAAAAAAAATTAAATTATTAATTAAACCCAGTGAGATACTGACTGGTTCATGATAAAAGAATCACCCTGTATAAAAAACAACAATTAAAACAATTGTTATAATGTTAAAAAAAATTAACGGATAAATTAAAAGAAAACATTTTTTGTAGAAGTATTTATAACAGAAATATTATTTGCTTCGTTTTATTGTGAAATTATTTTGAGGAGATAGTAAAACGATATAGGTATAAGGTTTAATGTATAAGGATTGTATGATATTAATCATACGGCTTTTCACTATAGCAAAAACTGAAATGTGTACTGTATCGAACTTTCTCGTTCATGCAAAATCGCTATCATACAACAACAGGATTATGCACGTTTATTGCTTTAGATTGAGTTTTTCTTATCGGTTCAATTACTACCAGATCTAGTAATGACTTAGGTCTAAAGTTTCAGCACTTAATATAAGTTCCCTACGGTCAGATACAAACAGTGAACACTCCGATAATATGTATATGCAAAATCGTGTTATCATTTGGAACGCGACTGAACTTTTTATAAAGTTGTATATTTATAGTTGTTGTTGTGTATTATCTTAAAAATTTCTGTCCATTCTCTATTGTTTTCATTATGGTTTCACTTTTCTCCGAACCGTTTTAACCATATTATAGTACATTTAACAGTAAATAAGTTAAAAGGTCCACTAATATTTAATTAAGATGAACAATATATTATTTATATTATGATATATTCAATTACTATATTCGTTAAATTAAGTTTAAAAATTAATAAATTACTTATAAATAAAAACATACAACAAATACTTTTTATCGACTTTTAAAGTTATAACAGCCTTTATAATATGCATTGTTTAAATCGATCAAAGGCTAAAATAGTTATAGCGTTATATTTTTCCATTGAACTTTATTGGAAAATGTTGTACTAATGTGACAAGAGCCAGTTAAATAAAATATATTTTTTAGTCCGTATAATTAAAAATTCCAATTTTTTTATTCGACAACATGCTAGAAAAATAAAAATGAAATATTTGGGATACTAAGTATTATTATTTATTTATCATTATTAAACGGAAAAAGCCCATATTTGGCAATATTCACAGTACAATATAATAACTCATATCATAGGCGTTACTAGAAGGGGCTAGAGGAGGGGGCTTAGCCCGCTTTAGTCTCTAAAATAGCCCCCTAATAGTTCAAAGGTTGCATGAAAACTAATAATGGTATGTACTAATGGCATAAATTAAGTTATGTTTTACAAAGAGTGCAGAAAATAGAAAACGAATGCAATATGTTATGGCCAAGAATATTATGAATCCAAAAACAGTTATAATTTACTGAATTCTGAGTAATACATTTGTATCTTGGTAAATGGCATCTTGGCTTTTTTATAACTACCTTCCACCGACTTTCTTCCAGTTAAAGTAGTGAAACACAATAGATTTCCTTGTAACAAAAACTTGTTTACTACGGTGAGTTTCCTTTTCTGGTATACAATTAATTTTATTCTTGTTTTTCTTCTATTACGTGCAGTGTTTTTTTCTCATACTTTTATTATGTTCGACATTATTCGGATTTTTTTATTTAAGAAAACTATTATGTTCATCTAATTATGAGAATGATTAACTGTTGAGCTGAAACATTTGTAAAACAAAGGAAAACAATTTAAAGAAAAAATGAATAATAATTTTTAACAAATTACCAATTGTAAACCTGATTTGTTTTGTTTTCGTAAAAATGTTGATTTTTAACATTCTAAGGGTGTACAATCGTAGGACAGTATAATTATTCAATTATTTAAAAAAAAGGCAGGAAAAATAAAGAGCTAGGAAAATAAAATATCTTCTAACAAAAAAGTTATCTGATTGTTACGCTGAAATAGGGTCGACCGCGACGGTTAAAAAAAAAAAGAGTTTTCTTATACGAACCGGCAACAGTGGCGGCAGCGACCCAACGAGTTTTCGTCACGTTCGCGAAAATATTGCAGCCATAAAAATAAACTATTATTACTGTTGCCTCGGCGCTGTATTATGGCTAACGTGAGTCCTGGACCTGCGATTTTTATGACCGGAAAATACATGTCCCTTCACTTGGTCTGTTCAGGCTTAATAAGTTTCTTACTGTAAAAAAAATATCCTTTTTCCCACATACAGATTTTCGCTTGGTCGTAATCTAGTTTTTATTATTACTTATTTTTTTTTCACAATCAAAATGTTTTACGCGAAAAGTTCATCGGAAACCCATCAGCTCACCTAAAACTTGGCAACTTTTTATTCGTTTTGCGATTTAGGTTTTTTTTTTCTCGCTCCACTATAATTTATATCTAAAATAAATTAAAAATATAATCCAAAAAAGTAGACGAGGCATAATTCCATTTAAAATAACCATAATAAGTCGTACATAGTATTTTCATCGTTTATCAATTAAAAGCCGATACCGTTGTAATTAGCATGTAAAAGATCTAAGAGTCCAAAAGTGGCTGTTTATTATGGGGAAAAATATGCACAACATTTTATCTAATATGCTTTAATCTATTTTGATTATATCAAGATCATTTTTCTACCGATTTGTATTGGTACGAGAGTACAGTAAATTATCAATATTCCTACAGGGCGCATTATGATCTCCGTTTTTTTATTAAATCGCCAAAAACTACGAATTACTAAGGTACCTATAAAGCTTCTTAAAAAAATTCTAGCAGGATTATTACGGCGCATAGAAATTTAAAACTAAAAACCGAAAATCAATGCGTCCTAAAAGACTTAAGAAATAATTTTCTTTTAAACAAAACAAAAGAACTATCAAAATCCGAGAACCTACGAATAATATTCCCTTAAGATATGTTATTAAGCTAAAGACCGTGCGTCAACATTTAGTTTGAAACTGTTTTTAATTAAAATAATCATGTAGAAAGCATTGAAAACATTGCCGTAAAGTAAAATTTCAATCACACTGAACATATTAATTTATTAAATCAAGTTTTCTTAAAATATATGTGAATAGCCAAGGATTTAGAAAAATATTTGTATTAAATGTCGAAATGTACTATGAATAATGGTGGTAGGAGTTTGGACATACACATATTTAAATAAATGACACTTGTAAAACGAACACCTTGGTACAAAACTAAACAAACGATTTTTTACAACATTACCGTATAAATCATGACTCGTAAATAATTTTTAATACTTTTTCACAGCATGGCTTTTTTTAAGATAGAAATATTGTTTATAGTAAAAACACGTTCAACCGTAACCACAAAAAAGAGTAAGAAATATATTTTTGGTGGCAAAAACTTAATAAGAGATAAAAGAAAATATGCTTTCGGTTATTGAATGTAAATATATTAAAATATTTTTGGCCATTTATTTTAACTCCGTGAAATGAAACGATATCTTAAACTCTATCGAATTTTCTATCTTTAGTGAACTGTTTTTCATTTGTATGCAACTATTTAAATTCCTCGCTGTTGTATTATTTGTAATGTAACAAGTCACAAGAAAATAATGTTTAAAATCAGACTATCTATGAGCTGGTCGAACTCGGACATAAGGGAGTCTATAAACCACCCGTCTCGGGAACTTAATGGGAACTTTCATTTATTTTTGTGCTATTAAGAAATTGATAGAAGAATGTTCTAATAAAAACGATAACCATTGTAGTAGATGCGTTTAGGATTTTTTTTTTTTTAATACAAATAATTAAATAATATAATTGACATTAATCTATTCTAGCACATTTTGCTTAACTGTTAGCAAATCCAATAAGACGGAGGTCTATAAGATTTGCATAGTTGAGAGTAGAATCTATTAGCGTCAGCATAAAAATGACTGTGGGTAATGATGATAGTCAAGTGTCCGGTAGGAACGACGCTTTGCCGCAGTTTACTTATGTCGATCCCAAGTCTTTCCCATAAATACCTTACCTCCTACACTACCTTTATACACATGAGTAGTTTTTCAATCATTTATGATTATACGATATCACTTATACAACAATTTACAATCTAATCAACAATCTAAAGAAGGATATTCAACGACTTACGCTATCAAACTTTACCGACGACTATCATATAGTTTGGTTCAAATATTTAGCTATAAATAAATTTAAATAGATACAGATGTAATTTATTACATCATAAATCAATTTTTTATTTAAAACTATGTGGTAGTTTAATTGAGCTTAACTATAATCGGCAATGCTTTTCATTTATAAACCTTTATTAACTATGAAAAATAAAAATGATGACTATCGTTGAAGTTTATTTTAATATATATTTTATTGCTTTTATGTTGGCAATGTTGCAGTAACATCACATACTAATGTCTCTAGGCTAAGTGCTTTTCCCCTGTCAATAAGCTGCATTAAGTTGCCATTAACTGTATTTTAAGTATACAAATATTATCATATTCTATAAAATAACCAAGTTACTTCAATGGTGATTTACCATATGGCTATTAAAATATTATAAACACTATATTTTGTTAAACGACAAAATTGCCTAATTTTGGTTTTGAATTTACATGTTATTGTAATTTGTAATCACTTAAAATCATTAACGTTCAAATAAATTATTTATTTTATAGAGAACGGTTGAATAATGCTAGATCGATCAAAGAAAATCCAGGATATTATGTAAGTAAATCAAGTATTATAGTCATAGTCGATTACCGTTTTTATTATTTTTTACTTAGTTTAATTAAAAATGGAACAAATATAATATACGTTACCATAAAAATGTTTTATAGGGTTTTAGCACATAATGGATTGAATTATAATTTTTAATTAAATTAAATATTAGTTAATTTTAGTTAATAATTTAATAATTCAATATTAAATTTGTCCCAACTAGTAATAACAAAATAACTAAAAACTATATAAAAAAAACAAATCACTGAGTAGGTAAATAATTATTTGATACATTTGTATTCGAATAAAAATGTGCACTAATAAGCAATCATAAGAACGGTTTTTGTATATTTAAATTCTTCTTCCTCGAGTATTTAAACTGATTTTGATTGAATTTAATTTTTAAAAAAAGGTTGCTATCACAATTTATTTTTAAATGAAACATAGTGACATGTTTTAAAAATCTCTACAAAATGTAAAAAAAAACCTATACTAAACTATACAACAATAGAATAGTGTTATTATAAACTAACGATTTTATTCGGTAACAATATATTTTATGTTTTAACGAAAAAATGTATGTAATTATAATATTATTATGACCTAAAGACCGATTTAAATATACATACTATAATATTGTTTTAGTTAATACTGTGTAAATGAAAGACAGCAAATATAATGATAATGAATAGCGAAAGCCATTTATTAATAGATAATGATAGGAACATTTCCTGGAAATAAAGGATGCGAGATTGTGTTTATTTATTGCGCACACAGAGATCCTAAATCATACAACACGACGAACTCTCATATCCTATACATTATTATGCTGTTTTTGGTATTTGTACGAAGTGACTATTAAGGATGTAAACTATAACGGATATTTGAATGCCTTTATAATTTATATTACAAATATAAATGTCTGTGTTCAAATATCATGGTATCCAATCTCTTTACACAATTCATCATTATATTTAATTTGATTAAGTTTACAATTATTATGTTAGCTAACATGTATTTTTATGACGTAATAGTATAATCACAGTTTATATACGTATCTAATACGTTAATTGCTTTCTAAAGTGTAAAATTATGTACCATTAGTACATTGAGTTAAAATATTTCACACAGTAGAGAAAATTCAGTATAGTAAATCTATACAAGATTGAAGGTTTGATAAAATATGTGCTTCGCGTGTTATTGACGTCCTGTGACGGTTTGTAAATAAACTTTTAGATAATTTCTTACGAACTAGGTACAACTATTATTCGCTTTTGAACCTTCGTCTTCACCCAAACTATTTGGAGTAGGCCATCTTTGTCCTAAACCTCCACTCGATACAATCTCTCACGTCATCTTCAAATATACAAGCAGTCCTCATATCATTCTCAATCGCATACAACCACATTTATTCGGTTTTTCTCTTGCCCTCTTTCTGACTACACGAATTATATAACTATAAACGAATTAAGTACAATTTGTTTAAAATTATCCAGAAGTCATGATGACTTGTACATGACGTTGGAGCTCAGTAAGGTAATTTTTAAATGATTCTTGTTACGTGTCTAAAACGCATACTCCGGTGAGGTGCTTATAAACTCTAAAAACCTACTGAATAAAATAAATTGTCATCTTGTGATCCAAAAGAGAAGTTATATGTTCTATGATGACCACGTCATAAATATATGATTTATTTAGAAATAAATACGGGCAGTGCTTCCAGCGACTCGAGACTGATGACCAAACAATTAAATCATTATAAAAGACAACAAATGTCTATGTTTTTTTGTCAGTCGACTTCTGTGCACTAGTTGGTCATCAGTCAAAAGTATTGGTTTTTCGCTGTGCGTTTCCAAGGCTTAAGTTCAAGAGTACCTTTGTTAAACATCTTGTACTTTTTCCTTTCCTTTCCTCGTACACTTGTCTTACGATTCGTTCGCACAGTGTGTGCTCCTATTGTTATTATAGTGTCTTGCAATCCGCAAAGAACCCGGACGGCAAACTGCAATACTGTCGGCAACTCTGACAAGTACAACTAAATCAATCAATCATTTATCCAGTTTGTGTCTTTACCATATTTGTTTTGTCCTACGACTTAGGTTTCATAAGCAAATGCATACACTGCACTCAAAAAGTATTTAAATTATAAAACTTTAAATTTGGTAATAAATACTTTTTCCAAGCGAACATAATATATTTATTCCAATGTTTACCTGTAAGTAAAGAAAATGTGTTGTAAAAACTATTTCGCAAGCGATAGCAATCATTGTATTTACATCCAGAAATTGGCAACAAGCATCAACGTATCTATTGATATAAGTATCAATAATTTTAAATTACGCTAGATTAATTAAACATCCAAATTATTAATGGATAATTATCATTGTGAATGTAAAATATAAGTACGTCAACTTGTAACTTGATAAACACATCATGATTTTTGGGTAAATCAAGGTATATTTTTTTGTATCGATGCCAACCTCTAACTATATCTTTAATTAATACAGATTCTTTATTCTTTGCTACCTGCCAAAAAATAAGGACTGATAAATTCCATTTGTTTTTATTTATCCATTGTGTAGACAGTTACATACTAATCCATGCTTTCCTGCGGTTGCTGTTGAAGGTCTCTCATAGTCTTTTACCCTTTAAAATGTATCCCTTTGGACTGTGTACCAGTCCGAAAATACGTGATGGCGCATTGTCTGCCACGTTTAATAGTACAACCACAACCTTAGAAGCCTTAGGTACTCTCAAAACTAATGGCATTATATTATGTTAATCTCCGATGTCGACCTCCTAAAAGAGCAAAATCCTTGCGCATTAGCGGTTATGCTTTCTTCGTTCTATATCTATAGACCAGATCGTACAAAAGGGCCAAAGATATCGATAGATGGTACAAATTATTTAATATCGTTTTGTGTTAAGGTAGTAAAGAATAGGGTAAAATATGATATAGGCAAATATCCTACCCTCACTTTAAGTGTTCTTGCCCTAGTTTATCATTACGACATTATATCACATTAGGTAACTTACCTTTATAGTTCTGTATTATAATATTTATCTTTTAAAAGATAAGGACATTTTGTCGAATCACTAATAATTTGAGTAATTCAAATTATTGAAAAACATATATTTTTTTTTTAAGTTGTCTTTTAAACAAATTAAAGTTTGATTGAAATATTACACATTCGTTTAGGTATTTCATTATTCTATAAATAACTTACTAATCACAAAAAAATATATAAATATATCATAATTTGAAGAAAAAAAACTTCAAAATAGTTAATCGCTTAAGCAGCAAAACCTATGTTTTATCTTATGTTTTTAGTCGGATTGAGTTGGCACAACCTTTATTGTTTATTCGATATTTCGTGTGGAATCGACTGGTAGCCTCAGATCAAGTCAATAAATAATGTTCTAATCGAATAATTGTGACTATTCAATAGAATAGTTTCAATTTTGTAATTTTTTACATATATATTTATTTATCTTTTGCTCGTATGTAAAATGGTCAAAAGATATTACATTTAACATCAGCGCTGTTTCCATGAAAAATATTGACGAACTTTTAATTAGTAGAATAATTGTTTCAACATTGCTTGCCATTTTCTAAATAAGTAATTTTAAATACAACGCTTGTATTTTATAACATACTTTTTGTGGTTTCATTTTTTATTATTTAACCTTAAATTTCATTCGTAAAACATAAAAGTTATTTTTCACTTATCAACAACAAAAGAACATTGTATTTAGAAAAAAACACACCTTATTGACAAACGAGGAATAAAATATCGAGTAACCTTTAAAAAAATATTTTCTATTCTTGAAATATGTTTGACAAAAAACATTTTTTTGTGGACCAGATTTTATAAATATTATAGATATTTTTTTTTAAATCTGTTTTTAAAAGTCAAATAGATAATGTTTTAGCGATAGCGTAAAAAAACGTGTAGATCTATAAGCTTTTTGTCGAGGGAACGCTTCAATTACTAAATAAATGTTAATGTAAAAATAATTAAAATCAGTTGTTTGGAAGTGCTTTAATGGTCATACATGTATTTTAACATGAATTATGTGAATCGCGTTTAGGTATACAATATACATAATAACGTTTGAAAAATATTTTTATGTGTGAAAAACTACACTCTATATGTATGGTAAATTTAAATTCAATCGCTTTTGTTTTTTTTTTTTGCTAACATTAGTCTGATTTTGTAGCATTTACATAAATTATGTGGTTTTGTGGACTTATCAGCACAAACACACGCTTGTTGAAATTCAATTTCCAAATAATAATAACAATTATTATTATTATAACTGGAACATATTTAAATATTCTAAAAAATTGCCGTTGCATTTTACACACAAGTAACTAAATTCTGACAAACGCTTACAATAAACTTGAGTTAAACATATTATAATGGTACTATGTGGCAAAAATAAAATGTAATCTAACAACGAGAAAACCTTTTATTTTTTATTTTTACGAAGGATTTTGGTGAAAAAAAAATATTCGTTTATTAGCAGTTTTAGTTTATATGTACATTGTTTAAGATATTTTAAGCAGAATTCGTAATTCTTTTTTGGTCTATACTGTAAAATATTTACCAGTTTTTGTTATTGATTTATTTTCAAGAGCAATTTGATAAAAGTAAACCAAGTAAGCTTATTTTTTTATAAAACGTATTCAAAAATTCAAAATCAATTAGTGAATAACTGTTTTGATAAAAACCAACTATAATTTTCAATCTGAAAGTCTGCTGGCAGTTTAAAAGGCGCAAAGAAAAATATGAACGGGTTTAGCTGGCTCTTATAGTTATATGTTGTATTACCCCATCCAATTATTATTTCAAATATTTGTATTTTTTTGTAAAACCGTCTCGGTAGTAAGACCGTACTCTATATTTATAATGTTACATTTTTTAAATATTTCACACAGCATATTATCTTATATGGCTATGTAGAAGGAGTAGCTGAACGTAATGTTTTTACGAAGCCATCTG